GAAGCACTTCTTTACACAGCGTGTAGTCAGAGTATGGAATAGTCTTCCTGATAACATAGTGCAAGTTGAATCCTTGGGTTCCTTTAAATCAGAGCTAGATAAGATTTTAACAACTCTGAGCTATTAGTTAAGTTCTCCCCAAGGGAGCTCGATGGGCCGAATGGCCTCCTCTCGTTTGTATAGTTCTTATGTTCTTAATAGATATCCTGCTCCTTGAGATCTAAAAAATCGAGGAGGGTTGTATAAGGCCAGCAGATTACTAAGGTATTCTGGTGCAAGGCCATTCATTGTTTTATAAGTTGATAGCAGTATTTTGTAGTCAATCCGAGATTTAACTGGAAGCCATTGAAGGTAGCATAGAACAGGGCTAATATGATCACATTTGTAGTGTTTGTAAGAACTCTGGCTTCAGCATTTTATACCAGCTGAAGGTTATGTAAGGATCCAGATTGGCAACCAGAAAGGACTTCCAGTCAAATCTGGACGTTATAAAGACATTTATTCGTTTTTGCGCATCATGAAAGGAGAGCATCTTTCAAAACTTGGCTATGTTTCATAGATGATAGAACACAGTTCTAGTAATACTTTTTATGTGAGCATCAAAACATAAATCTGAATTAACCAGAACATCAAGATCTCTGACCACTGTATTAGGTTGGGTAGGAAGACCACCGAAGTTGAGGTTGTCAAACTTATTTCGAGCAGTCTATGGACAAGTTAACAGTACTTCAGTTTTTTCTGTGTTTAACATAACACATAGGGGCAGCGTGTGGCTCAGTGGGCTAAGCCTGTGTACCTGTAATCACAAGGTCACTGGTTCAAACCCAGCCTCAGCAGTGGGTCCTTGAGGAAGGCCCTTAACCCCCAGCTCCCTGGGTGCCCCAACAGGTGGCCGCCCTTCATGGGCAACTTACTCTACAAAGAGCAAGTTGAGGGAGGCATAAAAGCAATTTCCCACAGGGATCAATAAAGTATCTATCATTATAAGGAAATTATTTGCCATCCAGCACCAGATATCTAGTAGACAGTCTTCTAACCAAGAGAGCTGTGATGCATCCTTCAGCTTAACAGATATATATAACTGTATATCATCAGCATGACAATGAAACACAGACAGCTGAAGAACAACAGCTTTTTCCAGGATCTTTAATATGAATGAAAGATTTGAGATAGATCTATAATTTCCTAAATCACTAGGTTCAAGATTTGGAAATCATGGCTAATTTCTATTTTAAAAGGTTTTGGAACATATCCAAGGCTAAGAGACGAGTTTAACACATTTAACAATCAATGGTGCAATCTCCTTTAGGAATTTTGTAGGAATTTGGTCTACAAGGCTAGTAGAGGATTTGCAGGAGGAAAGTAAGCTAAAAAGTTCTGACTGATTTATAGGAAGGAAAGATTCAAAGGTCACATTATCAGTACACGTAGGACTAGCAGGGGGCTGGCAGCTGTATGTAGCTATAGACATGCACTGGATGGTCTGTCTAATCTTAGTTATTTTACCATTTAAAAATATAATAAAGTCATCACTCTTAAGAGCTTTTGAGACTTGCGAGTTTAATGTTGAAGAATTCTGTGTTAACCTAGACACAGATTCAAATAGTAATGTAGGATTATTTTTGTTCCCTTCAATTAGTCTGGTGAGGTACACAGATCTAGCAGTTGCAAGTGCTTGTCTGTATTTAGATGCTCTCTTTCCAGGTAGATCTGAAATCTTCTTGGTTAGTTGAGTGCCATTTATGCTCTAGCTTGCATGAAACATTTTTAAGTTCATGTGTACAGTATGGTCAGAGTACCAGGGGGCAGATTTCTTATCTCTATGCTTTATCTTCTTAAGTGGAGCTAAAAGATCTAGAGTGCTGCAAAACAATTTCTCCATGTTCCCAGTTACCAGTTCAAGTTCATTTTCACACAGGGCTTCAGATGTAAGGTTGAAGGACTGTGGAAGTTGGCTGAGAAACACTGTTAAGGAGGCAATGGAACGTCTGATACTGTACTCTGGAGCTAGGGCCAAAGGGAGGCTATACTGTATATCAAATGTTAACAAGCAATGATTTGAAAGCAGAGGATTCTGAGGTACAATAGTTATGTGTTCCACCAGAATACCATGGCTAAGAATCAAATCAAGGGTATAGTTGCAGGCATGAGTAGGCCCTACTACATTCTCACATACACCTACAGAGTCTGTCCTTTGCTCATCAATCACAGTGTGGTTTGGAGCAACCACTAAACAGGACCAAAGGAGACTGCAGCGAACAGTGAGGGCAGCGGAAAAAATCATCGGGGCCCCCCTGCCCTAGACTTCAAATGAAATCCCCTTGGATTGGAAATCTGCCCTTGTTACTCCTCTCCTAAAAGGAGGTGACCCTAATATTCTAATCAATTACAGACCGATCTCTAAACTTTCAGTCCTAGCAAAGGTGCTTGAATCTCTGGTCAGTGAACAGGTCAAAGAATTTTTGGCCACCAACTCTATTTTGTCTCCATTTCAGTCAGGTTTTCACAAAAATCACAGTACTGTAACTGCTGCTAATCTGTCAGTCCAGATATTGTTAAATTGATATGTCTTTTAGAAAACAGCTTGAGCTGAAGCAAAAAAAGGCTGTTGTTTTTCTCAGAATATACTAGCCAGCTTCTAGACATCTTTTCACCGTTAACTAGTGTTTTCTTAAAATACTGGTGGTGGCAACTTCTTCCATCACCCTCATTTCTAGGGAAAACAAAGTCTGGTGCTACCTTACTTGGTCCTTTGCAAACCAGCTGTATTCGAATGCTGTCAGTGATATCTGAAGGTCAGTTTGCAGGATCCGTAGGAAAGGGCTCATCCTCAGGCGGTTCAGCTCCAGGCATTTCTATGAGCATACATTTGCATTAGTATTCATAAGTTATTTGGAATACACAGCATTCATAGTGGCAGAACAGTCTTTGCAAAATATTATGCAACACACACGCATAAACACACACTCAGGCTACACACAATCACACCTGAAGTGGCCGCAATTGGGTCTTCATCCTTGGGATCAGACATTTGTGGAGACACATACAGTATGTGGCTGAGGAGGTGGACGGCTCCTCATCTTGGGCAGTGGCAGTGGCAGAGGGTGCTCCAAAATATTTCAGAAGTGCCGCTG